ATGGTTTTTAAAAGAATACGGAGAATAGTTTAGAGGAATATATGTTTTTCCATATCATACAATTCTTAGGTATTTATATATCGAACACCTAAAATTTTGTATTTATATTTATAATATTTTGATATCATAAAATTACATGGGATGGTGTGTTTCATTTTTAAGAAGTAATAGCGATATTCTTTTAATATAATGTTAATGATTGGAGTGCTATGTATGTAAGATTGCAGTGCATGCTCAACAAACAATATGCAATATATATAAGCCTGAATGCTCACATTTTACTCTTTTTTCTACATGCCCAATTGTTTTAATTTCCAAGAGAAATTTCCTTAAATTTCAACACAAAACATTATTGGATTGCCCAATTGTTTTAATTTCCAAGAGAGATTTCCTTAAATTTCAACACAAAACATTATTGGATTTAGAGTAATTTAGATAAATATCAAATTTGATCAATATGTTATGGAAATTCTATGAAATTTTATCACCAATAGATGTCATTGGTTTATTTATATGACAAATATTGGTATGATGTTTGGTAGTTTGGAAATATAGAGCGGTGTGCGCGGAAGCACTGTAAGGTTACAAGCATTAGCCGTATCTGTAAGTTCAAACAGTGATATAAGAATGAATGACAAAAGAGGTAGTCGCACTAAAAGTTCTTATGCTCATAACTTATGTGCCTACAATTTGCATATGTAGTCATTATTGGTCAAGAAGCTGAAAAAATATAAACTTCATGATTTCAGGGATGAGCATGCCATGCTTTTCATCTTCTATAACTATGAGAATGATTTGTTCTGAACGAAGATAACAAATGCACAAGTTTTGAATCTGATTTAGCATATGACTATAGAATCTGGACACAAGCAATATATTATTATACTCGTAGACAGAGTAATGGTTGGAAATAACTTGGATACACTCAGTTAGATCTTATTATACCTAAGAAGCAAGAAAGCATGACTTTAAGCATAAAGTTGCAAGTCTATTAAGGTAGTTTTCACAACAAAATTTGGAAAACTCATCATTTTTATATGTTTTATTGTTAGAAACTATTGAGCAACTTACATATCTATGTTAGGTTGATGCTAAAATTCTTCTTGAGCATTCACATTTCAAGGATGTTATTACAACTGATACAGCATATAAGCAGATAAGGAATAGATACTGTCGAGTAAGTGTTACCTTTTATCATCATTCTTGCACAGTCAATGCAATCCATACCACTTAAGCTCTCGATATAAGAAGAACAACATTAGAGCATTGATCCCTCTCTCCCATATAGTCGCAATGCTTCCACTGACTGAATCTTCCTCATTTTCTCCTTCTCATTTCGTCGGCAAGCAGCCAACAGTGACCCCCGCTTTTATCCTCCTCCTTTGAGCCCTTCTCCTTTATCCATTAGGCAAGCAACACTTTTGCGGGCCTTCTCCCTTACATTCTATCCAAGTCGCCAACAACAATTCACTCTCTGTCTTCCATACTCAAGTAAGGAGAGTTTAACTTACATAAATTTATTTTAGATTAACTAATTTATTGTGATCTAATATTTATGTTAGGTAAACCTTGATTTAGATATATAAAATTCTCTTATGTTTTGAATAAAAATTAGAGAAAAGATATAGTTTAGTATTTTATTAAGGTATTATTTTATGATGATAATAATTATCATAGATTGATTATTGAGTAACCTTTATCGATCATGTTTGACAAATGACTTTCAATGTCTTTATTTAAGATTTCTAATTAATTTCAGTTTTATTATCTCGTGCTTTAAATACTTTTTTTATAGATTACATATTAATTCAAAGGCCACATGTGTAGAACTTTCCTTTTCTTTAACATATTGTGATTTATTGGTTCTCAATTAAACTTCAAATTTCACACCAATTATATTAAGATAAATTTTATTTATTAGAGGGTAATCAAATCATTCTTCATTAGGATGTTATCATTAATATTTGTAATAGATTATTAGATACTTTGTAGGTTGCCAATCTTGCACTTTTATTCAGATTTGAATGCATGATTATCATAGAATTCTTTTAATGATTATGATAAAATATCAACTACTATGCATTATTTTATCTTAATATATTGCTGCATAAATTTTTGAATATTGGATGATTCATATAATAACAATATCTATTTTTATTCGTACTGCCTACGTTGAATATAATAAACTTTATTCCTGCAAATCATTTTAGAATCCCTAGCAAGCACCTGATCGTAATATATAGACATATATGCTTATTTATAATAGATATGTAGATTGATAAAATCATTTTCTATATTAGCTAATGATACTCACCGGTTCACAAAAAATCATTAACTTCTCATGGATGGTGCCTATTCTTGATTTTTGGGTGTCATAGTAAAGAAGGCTATAGATATATACAAATATAAATAAAAAATGACCGAAAAATTAACTCTTGATATATATAATTATACCTAATGTGGTTGCATGTGGATATATTAGCAAAGAAATGTGTCAATTATCATTTTCATACAAATGACCATAAACATCACCATACTCTAGATCATCTTAAGACTTGATATTTAAATTATTATTTCATGTTAAGCTAACCCCAAGACTTAATGATATTGTTACACTGTTATTACACAATAAATTATGTCTCTTTTATTGATCATATAATATGCCCTAATGTCTTGAAATTTAAGCTTTTTGATGAATAGAAGTTCCTTAGTGAGTTATCATAATTAACTATGAAGCAAAGACCTACTTTTTTTCTCACCAGTATTCATCATGAATATGTTGACAAAACTCTAAAACATAAGCAGCAAACCCATTCATTGAAAAATTATTCATATAAAAAGTTATACCAAATTATTAGCTGGACCATGTTGGACCATCATTATAAGAACACACATGTCATTCGGTACTAAAATTTAAGCTATATTTATATTTAGACTTATCTTGATTTTTGGATACTTCTTGCTTATATATTTGTTTCTTTGATTTCCCTTTCGCTAGAACTGTTGATTCTAAATTAACCATTTTTTTAAGATTTTATTGATGCAATAATTATCACTTTTATTTTTTTTTTGCTTTCCCTTGCACATTCTACTTGTTATTCTCATGTACAATTTTTTTTTCCAACGGGTAAGAAACAGTTTCAATTGATCACAGCTTCTGAAATTTATCTTGAGAGTTAATATTAATTCTTTATTACATCCTATGTTATTGGGATGTACCGACCTATGGACCCGGGTGTGATGAAGCTAGCCTATGCCAACTTGTTCCTGATTTCATTATCTCCCAATTATAGTTCTGTAATTTGCTGAAGTTTAATTACAAAATAGTTTGTCTCATTTATTTTATTCAATTGCCTTCTTATCTCAGTTCATTTCATAATATATACTTGATGCGTCATAAAAATTTTTTGTCATCAAACATGAATCTCGATACATTTTTTGAACAATAAAACATTCCATATTCAAATTTAAAATCATATAGAGCTCCAATTTCAGCAAGCTTATAACTAAAATGATCGTCTAGACGAGAGGAACCCAATAATATCAAAATTAGTCTAATCAGAGTCCAGTCAAGCGCGAATCAAGTCATTGAACCACAATTGAAGTCTTTGGGTAGATAATTGAAGGGTCAAATGAACTCTACATTTCACGTACCAATAGTTAAATTGAGTGTCTCGATAAAAGGAATACAACGAGCTCAAGATCACCTGGTTCTGAGATAATTAAGACACTCAAATCATAAAAAAAATTATATGATCAAAAGGAATCAAGGAAGGTAGTTCGATCAGGTGGTTATAGAAGTTATTTGCCGAATGACCAAAATGTCCCTCTCATGGAGCCTTTAAATAGACCCCTAGCTTCACTTGAAGAGTAAGGAGAGGCCAAAATTTGATCAAAGATATCCGTTGAGAAAAGTATAAATTATGTGGATACTTGAAATATCTGGATCCATGGAGATCTTTGCTCCGTGCTCACGAACATTATTTGATCTTGCACAAGAATAGATCCTCAAATTCTTTCTTAGCTGATAGGTGGCAGCCAGAGTCATTCACACAAATCCCCTTCTAGGGTTCCAAGAGATTACAACTGAATTTCTCAAAACACTCAACAGATGTTAGATTTTAGCCAGAAACATCACAGATTTTTAAAATCTAAAAAAAAGTTATATTAACTCAATACTTATCCAAAGCACCATAATATTTAAATTTAGATATCTTAGAATCATATTTATACAACAGAGCATACACACCTTCGTAATGTAAGGGTTTTGATCAACAACTTGCAGCAGACCGGTGTCAGTGATCCGCCAGCAACGCGTCAACGCTAACGACTTCAAATTTCCCCTCGCAAAGGATGTAATCCAAAAAAGTTTTTCGTCACAGAGCCGGAGGCTTAGCGGTGGCTCGACGGTGATGTGGCGCCACAGCGTCTCGTCGGCGGCGATCTCATCCCTGAAAGCCCTGCACACTTGCCGAAATGCGAGGAGCTCTGGCAGCCGGAGATAGCCAAGGACGAGGAACAGAGCGCTGTGAGGTTCAGTAGAGTCGCCGGTGGGAAGAGTGGAGGTGAGGTTCTCGACAGTTGGATAAGGGGTTTCCATGAGAAAATATGCGGGAGGACTCCGGAGCAAGGATAAAGCGAGAAGCGGCTAAAATATTAGAAGCGGCAAGCGAAAGGGAAAATTGAGACATTAAGATATTAATTTCAATAACATGACAATAATCTCTCTCAATAACTTTAAGATAATCTCCGTAATTTCATTCCAATAACTTTACTAATTTTATTTTAATAACTCCTCAATAATTTCTACGGTTCCACTTCATTAACCCCTTTATCAACCCTTATAAGAACCCCCAATAATCTTTAGGATTTTACTTCAATAACCTCACAATAACATCTATGTGGTGGCATGTTACTAGAAGCCACACACATAATTGTGTCCAAACTCCGCATGAAAAATTTCTCCATGTAAATACCGTAGTTTTCTTAGAAATTTAGATAAATAATACACATATACTTGTAGCTAAAGCTTGATATCTATCCTCCTCCACCTAAAATATATTTTTTAGTTTTAAATGTAAGGCGTTTTTACATATATATATATATAGCACTCAAAATGTACGAATTTACATATATCACAGCTAAACTCTTATATTTACGAAATAAGCACCTTAAACTCATAAATAGGCATAGAATAAGTACTCTGTCAAAGGAGGCTATAAAACCTATTGTTCTCCTCTCTCTTCAGTCATCGTGAAAACCAGATGCAATGACTGCCTGATAAATGGTTCTTCCATGTTGATTAGGGGTCCGTTTGGGGCAGCTTATTTGGTGCGTTGACATTTTGAAAACGCATCTGGTCTGTTTGGGTAAATTGTGTTTTGGCAGCTTATGCGTTTTCAAAACGATGAAAACAACTTTTTCACACCGCACCTATCTAGGTGTGGTGGCGACTTTCTGACGGCAGTTTGATTTTTCCCAAAAAAAAATTATAATAGCCACCGCACCTAGTTTATCAAACAGATTATTTTTAATCAGTTTATCAGCAGATTATTCAATAAGTTGCGTCTGTCCCAAACAGACCCTAAAAATAGCTCTTGAACGTTGTTGAAATCTTGTTTTCTCTAAGGTATATTTTATAAAATTGTTGCTAGAGATCCCAAGCCTTTTGAGTTGAGATATGTATATGCACTTTTCAATTAAAATACAAAAATAACAACAACAACAAGACTTTATTCCACTAACTAGAGTTAGCTACATGAATATTTTTTCTCCTTTGTGTCCTAGAGTGTTATTTTTTTATTTAATTCTAATAGATTAAGATCATTTTTTGATACAATACGCCCACCATAACATCTTTTTAGGTCTACCTTTGCATTTCTTAACATATGTTGAATCTAAAGCTTCTACTCCTCAAATTCGACCATTAGATAGTCAACGTTTAATGTGATCAAACAATCTAAAACGACTCTCTAATATTGTTTGTCATTGGAGTTACAACAACCCTTTCACAAATAAATTTGTTTCGTATTTTGTCTCTCAGTGTCCAACCACTCATCCTCCTAAGCATTCTCATCTCAGCAACACTTAGTCATAGGTTTCATTTTTAAAGCCCAACATTCTACGCCATAAAGCATTGCAGGTCTTACCACCATCTTATAAAATTTTATGTGGAGTCTGGAAGTTACTCGACGTCCACACTCCAATAAAAAAATTGGATTATTTACGTATTTTATTAACTACAACACAGTTGTAAGGTTCTTGAAATTCATGATTTGAATGTAAGGATTCATATCATGGCATAAACATGTGGTTGTAGTACAGAAAAAACTCAGATACAACCATGTTGTGTTGAACAAAACATATAAATAATCCTTAAATTCGCTATAACGAGGACAAAAAGGATTTTAAAATACATGATTTGAATGTAAGGGTTTATAGCATAGCATAAAACACAATTTTACTAAAGAAAAAAAATATCAGATACAATTATGTTGTACTAAACAAAATAAACTTAATAATGGGTTTAAGGATTATTTACATATTTTGTTCAGTACAACAAGTGTTTTATGTCATACTATCAACTCTTACTTTCAATTCATTTATTTTAGAACCATTTTTGTACTTGTTATAGCCCATCAAATCTTATCTCCCTATCTATTTGCACCCCACTTTGGAGGATCGCGACTACTCTTTTCAATGTAGAATGTGATACTTACAAGTTAAGAAATCTTAGCCCTTTCGGGTCTATAAGTTCCTCAACGGTTTTAACAATACAAGTGACCAATTTATAAAGTAAATGAAGGACCGAAAAAAATATCATCACAATTTTTAGGAATAAAATAAGTTCTAAATAAAATCAAAATCACTTACTTAATTCCTTCATATTGCAAAGAGAAAGAAAGAAGACTACTCACTAAGCATGAGGATAACAAAAAGAAAACATATTTATAAAACTTCAATCCAAGGTACAAAACTTTAAGAAAAAGATATAAATACTTATCTGGAATGTTCACCCAAGCACTCCTTTGAATTTCTCTAACTTCTATGACTCCAACAACACTTACAAGACTCACAAACTTCAGAAATAACAAAGACTCACAAAGAAAACCTCTCACACACTTAACATAGTCACACACGATGAGACTCTATAGATCTGACCCCCTAACCTTTGAAATTAATCTATATTTATAGAGCTTCAAAAATGACTAAAGGTTGCTTCAGACATCTCTTCAAAATTTGGCCTCATTCAATGAATCTTCTAGAAAATAATCGTGGCACCTAGGCGCCCAACTGTCGTGCCTAGACGTCAGCCAATTTCTGCATCTAATGCCTAGGCGTTAGATCTTGGTGTGTGGAGGAGGTGGTGGTCGAACTGTGGATGTGTTGGTGTCTTTAGATGTTTATGATTGTGTAGGTGGTGGCAATGGTGATGTGTAGGTGTATTGTGGCGTGGAGGGGCAATTGTGATAATATTGTGACATTCCTTTTTTTAGTTGTGATATTGTGGCGTTCCTCTTTATGTTAATTAGTTTTTTTCACGCTAGTAATACAATGGTTAAGTTAAAAGAGGTCGGTTCATCTGCAATGTGAGATAAAGGGACAAAATTAAAATTTTGCGACCTTTGCCTCATGGAGGTCGAACTGGGAAATAGATTGACAACGTATTTCAACAAAGAAGACTGATAAAATATTATTAGAAAACTGTTGAAAAGTACAGATAGAGAGTATGATAAGATGCAGTTAAAAAATAAGTGGGATTAGTTAAAGAATGATTGAAAAATATGGAATGAATTGAAACAATGATCAACGGGATTGAAGTGGGATCCGGTAAAGCAAACAATTGATGCTTCCAAAGAGTGGTGGGCAGAGAGACTGATGGTGAACATTTTTTAAATGTCACATATTTTTATTAATTTCACATATTTTTATCAATTTTTAATTTATTTTCAAATCTAACAACATGTTATATGAATTTGTAGGTGATGTTAACTGCAAAAAAATTTAAATACGGTGAAGTTGATCCTGAGCTAGAGGAGAAGTTAGATTGTATGTTTGGAGGTATCGTGACAACGTGAAACAATGCATGTGCCCCCAGTGAGGCGGTTTTTGGAGGCATCCCCAAAAATTTGGGAGCTGAACAAATAGGTGATTCCAATGAAGAATCTAGCCTGGAACTCCATGAAGTTGTGTCACGAGCTAGTCAAACATCTCCAGGTTGGAAAAAAAAAGAAAGAGAGAGAGAGAGAGAGAGAGTTGCTTTCCTTAGAAGCCAGATCTCACAGTTGGTGACTTCATGCACTAATGACCCCGGCACATCAGAATCAACTATTGTCATGCTGGTTATGTGTATTTTGGATGTAACTCCAAAAATTTTTAAGGATATGTAGTTGTATTTGTTCTCTGTGAAGTTTCTTGAAGATTCGATCCAGAGAGAGTTTTTCATAGTGATGCCCACTAACCGTAGAGTGGCTAACCTACGTTATTTTCATGGGAGCGATGACATTTGAGTGACACAAAAGGAGAGTTGCATGTTTATGATTTTTTAATTATATTATTGTGGGACATTTCTATTTGTTTATGATTTTTCATAGTGCTTTACATGTTTATGCTACTCTCGACATGTCACATTACTTGATAGTTTTTCGTTTCTCGTTATGTTTTAAATTTACTTTTGTAATGTAATTTGCTTATATGATTGTAGTTAATTCATTGATGATTATATGTTATCCTGTTCTATACATAAATATATGGATGCAACTAGAGAAAGACACAAAAGGAGAGTTGTAGTTGTCGTATGCTTGATGTACAAATATTATAACTTGTACATACAACACTTCTCTTGTATGACATCCTTATATGTTGGCGATAAATGGGTTCGAAAGTTGCTTGTGGGCCACCAAGGAGATTTAACAATACATTTTGCATGACATATGTGTTCTTCACCGATCTGTTGGATGGATTACACAGAAATCATAAACTTCATGGCTCATCCAGAACTACTTTATGAGAGGTGTTAACAATAACCCTATACATTTTATTGCAGAATGAATCAATGCAAGGATCTATGGAGTAATTTCAACACTCTTCATAAATGATTTACAGATACTTCGCAGTAGAGTTGAATGCACTCATCTCTTTTTCTTCACAAATGATAAAGCCAACAAATCCTACATTTGAATGGACCCCCACAGAGATTTCGCATGATGCGCGGTATATGTCATGCTTTAAGGTAATTCCTCCTATTTATTACATTAATCTTCATATAAATATCATAATTACGTAATTCTTCATTATCTTTCTAGAATTATATTTGAGCAATTAATAGAACACACATTTATGCATGTGTTTTAGACAATGAGAAGATCACATTCATCAGCCGTTGAGGGTCTCCGACGTAAAATGACATAACGGTATGCAACTTCAACATGTGTTTCACGTATGTCATGACCGGTTCGGAGGACGGTGCACATGAAAGTCAAATTTTCAAATATGCAAAACAAAATAACAAAAACAAATTTTCACATCCACTCACAGGTTTGCTTAAGACTGAGCCACTCTCGTAACTCTTTTTTTTTTCCTTCAACACTAATCATTCAATTCATATCAAATAAAAACTATTTGGTCGATTTCAAATATCCATTGTAACGAGGGTATCTCAAGCTTTATCATGACACGAGATACCACACACTTGCTTTTGAGTGAGCCAACAATGTCGCGTGGGGCAGGAAAAAATGTTAAACAAAAGACATTTCTTGTTACGCAGTATCATTGTGAGGGCAGTTGGTGTTTGGAAGAAATATGTGTTATACTTCGCGATATGTCATCTCACCTGTTTCCCAAACATGTACAGATTGCCATTTTCTTGATGACTATCCACAGTTATATCGTGCAGCACAACAACATCCACTTATGTAGGGAGTACGACGATCACAGACAAGTTCTTGTCGAGGCATATGATTATCGTCTTGGGCAATATTTTTCACAGGCTGAAAATGATGTTCCAGAAACCTACTCTAAAGACGAGGAAGTGCAAGCGAGATGAAAAAATTGAGGGGACGAATTACAAATACAATAGTCGAAGGGTGATTGAATAAAATGTTAATTTTTATTATATTATTAATTTTAATGATTGTTGAAGACATTAATTGTTTATTGTATCATAATCTTATATAGTTCATATTTATTTATATTTCTTATGCGTTTGATATTTACTGTTTTGTTTTTTTTATGCAATTTGTATGTGTTTTTTTTTTCCTTTTGGTGGGTTTTGGAGATCAAATATGAGACGTTTGACAATATGAGTTATTCTTGATGACCTATATGTCCCTACTGGTGGGTCTCACATGTGAAATCATAATGAAGGCAACCAAGTTTCTCTCTTTTTTTCGGGGCTACGATTTTTTAGATTTTTCTGGATGATTTTTTTTTTTATGATATGCATATGTGACATATACAAGTTTGGTATTATGTGTGTTAAAAACAATCAATAACATTTTTTTTAATAAGGCACGTTGTCTTCTTGTAGTGATATGTTTGTTGTTTTATATACTGAGTTCCCTGAGACATCACAACTGCATAAAACTATAATTAATTACTTATATTATTAATTTTTACTTGTGTTATGTCTAAGGGTATGTTTTTTTAAGCATGCAAAAAAGATGTGCTCGAGGATTTCTGATACCTCCAGAAGATTTCACTGTTATTGTGAACTTTAAAGTTTCCTAATAACTTCACCAAGCCACATAGCTACGAGCAACAATTTTACATAAACCATGGAGAATCACAAAAAATTGTGACTATTTTTTGTGAGTAGATAGACCGGAAAATTCCACCGCCGAGAGTGATCAGGCATGAAGAGTATTCTTAAGGACGACTTAGCTTGTGACATAAGTCATCTGTAATTTAAAAATAATATTCATATTATTAATTGTTATTTTAATAGTCTTTTTCTTTATTTTAATAATCATACTACTCACTGTTAAGTAAGGTATCTATCTTTTTTTATGATGTTTTGCACTGAATATTTGCTTTTAAAATATAGAATATACTAGTATGAACAATTTTATTACAAACAACAAACTATACAAAGGCATAATAATTATTTATCCAAACACAGCTACAACACAATAATTTACAAACTACAAAAAAAAAACAAACAATCAACTTAACCGTAAAAACTTATGTGCAAAAACTGCTACATTGCAATTTATTATTAAGTTACAGCTGCCCCAAACAGACCCTTAATGTTAAACCTTTTTAATTTAATAATTTTGAGACCCATCTTAACCAAATTTCAATCACACTTGTAAGAATAATGTTTAATATAATATGTAATTCAAACTACTTTGCGTTTACATAGAAAATAATGAATATAAATGAATTAGTGGTTGATAGAATGCAACCCTTTCTCCAAAAGCTCAGGATCTCAGGAAAGGAAAGGAAAAAAATAGGATCATTTACATACATGCCACCCAAATCTTATGTATTTACATATTTAATGTCTAAATTTCGACTTACATATTTGTACCACCCAAATCTTTCATATCACATAAAAAAAACACCATTACTTTTACTGTTAAAAAAGTGAAATTCACTTTTTCATGCATTGATCAAGTCAAATATGTAAAAATGTAAGTTTCTGGGTTGCATATATAAATAGATAAGAATTGAGTGGTATGTATGTAAATCTTCCAAAAAAAGCCGCTCTGATGCTGTGGCCTGTAGACATTACAGGAACAATTAAGGTAACAAAAGTAACGTTTTTGTGCAAAGAGAAAGATAAAGCTAACAAATAGCTCCTAAAGTTTGGTTTCATTTTAGATGATGATGTAGCCATTAAGGAACAATATAATCATAGAGGAAGAGATATATATAGCTTGCAAGCTTATGAGTTCGCCGCGCCGCGCTCATGGCTGTCGATGATCTAACGGTTCGACGGCCGTTCGGAAGAGAAGAATGTAAACCTTTTCGATTGAAAAGTACAAGAAACCGCCCAATGAATGCGTCACATAAGAGCCAAAGCTTGTGCCCACAATGCAATGCCAAGCTGGACCGTGGGTAGAATCAAATTCCTGCAACAAAAAGAGATTAAAGCAACCATGATTCTTCAAAAGAAAACTAAATTTAGTAGGAAATCATATGATAAGATAAGTTATAATATTTATGTGTAATAAGGTAGAAATAATCAGGATTAAAAGGTGTGATGCAGATTTTAGTTATGGTAGGAGTTATTTTTCATAATGTATTATGACATTATCATTAAATAAAATATTTAGAACAAAAACATCAAAACTTATTTTGAATATTTAAAAAGATAAAAATATGAAAGAAAAACAACAAATATATATGCAAAAATAGAGAGCGACGACAGAAACAAAAAAACAAAAATGAACAGAAACAGTACCTTAGTGTTAATGTCATGATAACATGATTAAATTTAATCTCAACAAATAACACCTTACTTATCATGACAACATCATTTACTAAATCTTGAGAATCAATTTTATTTTTTATTATATTTTAATTTGAAATAAAACATACGTTATATGTTAAGAATAAGTTTTATTTTGTTTATGTTATCATTTAAATTAACGAAGGCGATGAGGTGAAAATGTTTTATTTTGTTTATGTTATGATTTAAATTAACGAAGGCGATGAGGTGAAAATGGCGTCAAAGACAGCAACACCAATTATTTTTAAAAACAAAAAACAAAAGAAAGATTTAGATGCATACCTCTTAATTCATTTGCATATATTTAACATCTAAAATCTAAACTTTATTTTTACATGTCACCTTACCTATGCATGAATATGTAAAAAGTTAAAGTTGTGATACATTTGATGTGATATGAAAGATTCGGGCGGTATGAATGTAAAAAGCAAAGTTTAAGCATTAGATTTGCAAATACATAAGGATTGGGTGTAACATATATAAATGCCCCAAAATAAAAACATGCAAAAAATATGTTAGAGCCATTTGAAATCACTTTCTATTTTTTGTTTTCTAATTTATGTTTTTGTTTTATCTTTTTTGTTAATATTTTGATTTGGAACTAAATATGTTTGCCATGTTGAAAATAAATCTAACATATTTTTAAAAATATTCAAAATAACTTTTTTTTGAATATTTTTATAAAAAAATGATTTATTTAAAAAAAAAAACATAAAATAAAAAATATGTGGAATAAACAAACACATTTTTAAAAATAAAAGCACAAATAAAAACAAAAACAAAAAATAAAATTAATCCCAAACAAGCACTAAATAAACATGTTTTTAGAAAAAAAAAAAGCAAAAACAAAAACACATAAGAAAAATGACCCCAAACAAGCCTTCATTAATTGGAAAGATTTCAATTGATGTCAATATAAGCAATAGGCTTGTACAGTAGTACTAGGACATTAATCGCAATTTTGGCACCTACGTTGCACTAATACCATTATCTAGTGTTTTTAAAAATAACGTGTTTTAATTTAAATCAAGGCAAAAATAAAATAAAATAAAATATAATAATATTAAAATGATCCCAAACGGCCTTAAAATGTGAATAAATAATTATTTAATGTGTAACTGATAAGTGCTAAAAAATTCGTCTTAGCGTTGTACGAAAGTTCAGCACACATGCAGATGAAATAGAAAAAAGTGGTGATGACTCCAGAAGTTTTTACGTAGAAAACCAATTAGGGAAAAACCACGGGGTCTGACCAAGTTGCGAAAATCCACTATTGATTGATGATTACAAAAATCCTTTGTCCCACAAACGAGAAAGGGTAACTATATTTTTTAGATTACAATGTCGACTAACAGCGTCTGGTGGGTGGTGATTGATGACTGTAGGTGGAGGTTGACAACGGTCGGCGGTGGTCGTTTGAGGTTGGCGGTGGTCGTCTGAGGTCGACTGCGGTCGACGACAGAGGTCGGCGGTGGTCGACGACGATTGGTGGCGATGCTGAACTGCAGCTTCTTCTCAAGACATCAGACTCTCTCTAGACCTCCCCCCCTCATGAGAGGGATGAGACTCTATTTATAGTGTTCTAGGTGCAATTAATGCAGGAATATGAACAATTTTGATCGGACGGTACGGAGAGCTTCCCTCGATCATACGACATTTAATGGACATTGAAGTGTCTTAATGATGTCAGAATTGAGTGATCTTGGGCTCGTTGGATTCCTCTTGTCGAACCACTCGATTTGAGTATAAATTTGTCATATTTGACAGTCGTTTAACTTTCCAAATGTATTCATGAATCTTTTGTGGTTTAATGACTTTATTTGGGCTTGATTTAACTTGGATTGTGCTAGTTTTCATATCATTAGGTCCGTCTCATTGAACAGATCAGTTTGACTATAAATTTGCTGAAATCGAAGCTCTGGATGACTTTTATCAAGATTTAAATGTTTCTTGTTTAAAATATCATCTCGAGATTCGTGTTGGATGATGAAAATTTGTTAGTGGTGTATCAGTTGCCTCTCTATTTTCGGGCGATCCTTTTTATCGTCCGAAAAAATCAATATCAAAAGTATTTATATATAAGAATATGTATATCTTACTTATTTAAGAATAATTTTTATTCTTATATAAATAGAAAGTTGAACTCAGCTTAGTTGGTTAGTACATTTTGCTTTATGTGGGAGAGGGGGGTTCGAATCCCGCCTAAAACAGAATAAATAATATTTTATAAAGGAATTTGAAGAGATTAAGAAATTTGAAAGGGCAAAAGAAAATGAATAAAAAATAAAAAGATTTTTTTTTAATATGAAAAGTTTTTATTCATTATTATTTATGAGCATTTAATGCATGTATTTCTTTTTAAATTTCTATATTAATGTGCATTTATTGGTCAAAACACTTTTTGAGCCTATAAATAGGGGCCTGAAGGAGAGGGTGGAGGTGAGGCAGTGCATCGTGACGACGCGGTGCAGCGGTGCATTGAGGCAGCGCGACGCGACGTGGCGGCGGCAGCGCCGCGACGCGGTGGCGTATCGGGGCAACCTGTTGCTGTGGGGCAACGCGTTGTAGAGACGTATTGCGCCGCGGCGAGGCGTTGCAACGATATGTTGCAGCGTGGCGATGCGTTGCGGCAGTGCGTCGCGGCGACACGTGACTGCGTGATGATGCATTGCAGTAGTGCGTTGTGATGACGTGACGCGTTGCGGCAATGCGTCCCAGCATGATGACGCGTTGGAGCGATGTGTTACAGTGACGCGTTGAGTCGCGACAATGTGTTGTGGCGGTGCGTCGTGATGACTTGCGACGTGGCGAAGCATTGTGAAGGTGCGTCGGGGCGGTGCGTTGCAGCACAACGACGTGTCGTGTCAGTGTGTCGCAGTTGCGTGTTGGGCAAAGTATCGTAGTGGCTTGATGCGTCGGATGTCAAATGTCATGTAAGAATGTTACCGTGGGGATAAATTGCCAACGGCCTTTTACATAGCTGAGGTTATGCATCAGAATATTACTTAGTGATATTTAACATGTATGGGAGGATCCTACGAAAGTTTAACAAGGACTTTTTAACCGATCTGAGATTGTTTGTTGTAGTATTGCTCACTTATGAACCTGTGTGGAAGGGATCAGGCGTAACCCACCCAGGACTGTTAACCTGTTAAGCTATCTAAGGTTATTTATCGAAGTAAAAATTCAGTGATGTTAACCCATTTGGAAGAGATTAGATCAAATCCCCCTGGGATCGATCGTGCTCTGACTAAAATACAACCAGAGTTGTGTATTTCTTGGGTCAAGAGCATAAAGTGACTCGTGAATGAGCCATTACTCTTTCTAAAGATTTTTTTTGTGGAAGAAAGCAAGTAAATATTATTTAATAAGTCTGAGATACATTGACATTGCATGCAGTATGACATAGATGATACAACTGAAGTGCTACTAGTAGTATTTCTAAAGATTCTCGGCATTTCAAGTCCGACGCAGGATTTTTCCATCGAAGTCAGTCTTTGAGCTTGAAGATTCCAAGCTTGATCATAACAGTCACGATGTATTGGCCTTCCCAAAAAGGGGATAATTTGTTGTGTTGGGACCATGACCGGTGGCTTTGACACTACGCAAAACCAGGTCACCAATGGAGATAGGTCGTGACTATACTCTTCGCTTGGAACTATACTCTTCGCTTGAAGTGACGAGAAATTCTTTGGCGGTGGGAAGCAGCTATGAGGTGGGCCACATCGCATATTTCTGGGAGAAGATCCAACTGTTGTCGGAGCTTTTCTTCATTGTTATCTGAGGCGAAAGTCTTGACTCGGGGGTTTGGAACTCCGATATTAACGGGGATAACAGTCTCGATGCCGAAACACAAGTTATATGGGGTTTCCCCAGTAGAAGTTCGTGCGGTGGTGCGATAAGCCCAAAGTACGTTATGCAGCTCTTCTACCCACTGCCCCCCAGCATTCTCGAGGAGTCTTCAACCCTTTGAGTACGGTTCGATTTGCCACCTCTATCTGTCCATTCGTTTAGAGATGCGCCACAACAGTGTGCATCAACTGAATGTGAAAATCATTGCAGAATGATGTGAAGACCCTACCGGTGAATTGAGTCTCATTATCAGTGATAATCTTCACAGAAAACCCAAAGCGACAGATGATGTTTTTCCAGACAAACTGTTTGACAATGACCTCAGTGATCTTGGCAAAAGGCTCTACTTCAACCCATTTGGTGAAGTAGTCGACAACTATAATGATGAATTTTCGTTGTCCAATAGCAATCGGAAATGATCCCATATTTACCCCCCATTGGGCAAAAGACCAAGGACTCAAAAAAGATGTGAGTTCTACTGGCGGTGCATGCGTGAGATTGGAGTGCAGTTGGCAATTATTGCATTTTTGCACAAACTCTAATGCATCTTGTTCAATCGTGGGCCAGCAGAAGCCTTGCCTCATTATTTTAAGAGCAAATGCCCTGCCACAAAGATGCTCCCCATATATTCCAGAATGAACTTCTCGTAGAGCATAATCAGCTTCAGATGGAGGAAGACACTTGAGATATGGACCTACAAATGCCTAATTATACAATTCATCCCCTATAAACATGAAGTTGGAAGTCATGCGTTAGATGCGAATTGAT